AGAATAATTCAACAAACGTTAGAGATTAATTACATAAATAGTTAGATTTTTATTTACCATTTTCCCAGTTATGTAACTCATTCTTGTATCATCCAGTATGTCTCCATTAATTTTTTTTTGCTAAATCTCCATTAATTTTCTCATTTCTGGAAACTAACTTGCTCTTATCATCTAGAGCTTGCCTATTACTTACAAAAATCGTTAAAAGTACGGAAACTTATGATATACTATAGATTTCTTTTGTCTAAAACCAGATCCCATGCTGCTAGTGGGTTGTCTAAAACCAGGGTACGGAAGATTATGGTATCTAGATTTGTATGTATTATTCAGAAAAATATTTGTATTATTGTTAGCATGTAAAAAGTAACGAATATTATAAAATGTATGTTTAAATTATATATGTGTTTTATTATTTTATTCATATTTTTTTATTTGCATCGAAAATAAAAAGTCTTTACTGGTTTTGAGTTTGAAAAAATCATGATTGTATATATTTACTATATTATATTAACTATTTACAAAAAGGTTTGTCTAGAGAGGAAAACCTTGAAACTAAAATATTTTGAAATTTGGATAATTAAAATTGATAATCTTTAAACAAGTTTATTGTATCTATTTCATAACTTAAATCAAGAGACTAGGCTTTATATGGTTTTAGTTTTTTTAAGCAAAATATAAGCAAAACATAAGTAAGAAAAAAAAATTAACAAAAAAAATAAAGAGACTAAACTATTTTAAGCTAACATAAATGTGAAAATTTCTTTTAGTTATTTAAACCAAACCGCCAAAATTTTGGAATGAACTGTTAAGACTGTAAATTAATACTCTATACAGCCTTGGTTTCAAGGTTTACATAAGTTATGCAACATACGAAAATAGAAACCTGCTACATGCACATTCTCTCTTCTATTATTTTTCAGTTGATTACATGTGTTATTATGCAAGGTACATATGGTTTTTATTTCCGAAAAAGTAATGATATACAGTCCAACTAGATCTATGTAATGACTAATTGTGGTCCATCTTATCAGTATATACGTTATGTTAGATTTATTAAGCATTGCTACCTATGGGCAAGCACTCCCAAATGTCATATTAATGAAGGTAGATTGACATATGCTATTGCTTTTTATTACTATTTTTTTACTTATAGATGTTAATAATTAGGTTACGAAACTTAATTTACTATATACGCCCTATTTGATGATTGATATTATTTTCTATAGCTACTATGTAAAAGTAATCTGTTAAATATGTGGTACTTCATGTACAAGAGTATAACTGGTGGTAACCATGGGTTCGTCTTGTTGTACCGGTACAGTTCCTTTGGGGCTCATTGTACTTACGTTCGCTTCTCGTGTCTTCCATTTACATTTTGCTGTTCTTACCGATTAAGGAATTTCTGACTGAAAATTCTAAATTTTATTTCCGAAAAAATATCATTACTTTCTATAAAAAATATTAACATGAAAATTTATAGTGTAAATTGACTTATTGATATAAAACACGAAATTTTAACAAATTAAAAAAATACTGAAATTTTGTGGCTTTTTTGAAGTGGATGATCAAACGCAGGTTGATGTCTTATCTCAACGCAATCGACATATTCTCCATCTGAGCTCTGTTAAAAACATGATTCAAAAGTATACAAATTAATTTTAGTATATAGTTAATTTTAGTCATTAATTATTTAATCGACATATTCTCCATTAGTGATTTTAACAACTTTAAAGGTTGTTGGTCTGAAATTTTTTGTTGTAGAAGGTTTGTAGATGGTAAAAACAAACTGACGATTTTCTAAAGTTTGGATTTCTGGAGGGAGTTCACTCCTACGGTTGAACTGCCATAGTTTGGGGGAAAATAATAAAAACATGATATTAAGATGAATATGAAGTATGAATTTTACTTGAACTTGTTGCTCCAGCAACTCATACGGTAATTTGTTAATAAGTTGAATGACTTCCTTGTCAAACAGAAGGAAAGAAGTGGTTCCTGTTTCATCCTTCGTTTTTACATGAACTTGGTATCTATGAAAATAAACTATAGTTTATCAGACTTGTAATGGTAAAATATGTATAGAAAATAGATAAATGATGTACAAAGATATCATGTTAAACCTTGAGATAGTAGAAATAACAATTTTCTGGCAGGTGTCGCATGTAAATTTATCAGCCTCACTTTCTTCAGTTTCCGGATTAAAGTATTGGTTCACTTTTTTGAAACATTTTGTACATCCGATGTAGAACCAATGAATCTCAATTTTAAGTGCACATATTGTTGCATATATAGAACACGTTAGTTCCTGAGGACATTCATGATAGAAATAAAAATAGTTGGATTTGTAGTTAGTATAAGAGATAATTGAGTAAGTTTAAAATAAACAACTAACCTCATCTGATGTAAGCATCCGAGAAATAGTTCTGCGAGATTCCAATGAATAGTGATCTGGTTCAGAATTTGACAAAGTCAATGTGGAGCTAAGTGGAGATGACATCTTTTGGCATCCTATTATATATACACAAATAATGATATGCAATAAAGTATCAGAAAAAAAATTAAAAATCTATAGGAAACAGACAAATTGCAAGCATGTTTAGTTACTTTTCTTTAAATTCATTTATCTCAGGAATATCAGAATTTATGAAGAGGTTAGTCGATGATTTTGCACTTTGGATAGTCATTTTCCCTATAAAAGTGAAAGAAACAAACGTCAATATAGATGATTAGTAAATAGATTATATGGGATTTAATTTTGTTAAACCTACCATTATAAATATTAATCTTCATGAGACTACAAAGCATAACAATAGGTCCAGAAAAGGATTGAGCATACGCATATATGTCTTCAACGTTCTTTTCCCAAAAAAACACAATCAATTGTTGAACCACTGCAAAACAAAAAAAAACATTTAAGAAAGGAATATATAATAAATCAGTTTATTTAGTTATGGATACTAAGCTGAAAGCTACTTACTTGAGGTTTTTTAAGTTGAAGATTCAACAATTTACATAGAGCGTTACGAACAGTTATTTCCTTTAAACCATGCACTTCAATGATTTCACCAATAACATCTATATAAGAAGTAAAATAAATAATAAGAATATGAATCAAATGTTTAACTTTGAATAAAAATACAAAGATGGTGATACGACATACCGACGAAAACTGTTTCGTCATGTGACCGGAGAGCAATTCTTCAAAAGGGATGAAATTGAAACGAAGTGAGTCGTTTGGAATATGGTCGCAATTCTTCACATATGTTGACCAAAAGAAAAATATTTTGAAGAGATGTGCAGTTGCTCTGAAAATTCCCCCATTAGGAGATAGCTTCAAATTCATAAGAATGCGACATTCTCCTTCCTCAAAAACTTTTAGAAACTTGGATACTAATTTTCCTCTTATGCTGCTTGTATGTGATCTCCCTAATATGAAAAGAAAAAATAACAATTAAACGTAAAATTGTTAAATATGATTTGATTTGAGTATGTACCTTATCATCCACAAGAATTAAATCAAGTCTACCAATATCTCCATGTTTATCATTGTTTTGGAATCGCCAAATACGGGAAATTCGAGTTTTAATCTTCCAAATTTTGTTTTCAGACTTTAATTGAGCGATTGGTGTGAAATCAAGCTTCATCTTATACCGAGAGTCACAGTAATTGACAATGAAATTGAGGAAACCAAAAAAAAATTGTTAACACTAATTGATAAGTGGTTCAATTCTAAGAAAGAATTAGAATACAAAAGAGGGCGAAGTTGAAGAAACACATAAATTGGAGTGAAGATTTACATAAATCGTGGGAAGTTAGAGAAGGAGAACGTGGGATTTTGGTTTGTAAGTTACAAAGAGAAATGACGAACAATTTGCTTTTTTTTTTTATAAATTAAGATAAGAAATAAATTTAAAAATAAATGAAATGTAAAAAAAAAAATCAATGACACATGTCATTCTCACAATTGTTGAATGACTTCTGTTTTAATAAATTAAAGATTCTAGGTAAGAATAAATGAAATTAATCATGAAGTAAAATAATTTTTTTCAACTGGTCAAAATACACGTCGGGTAATTATTAGAGTACCCATTTTGATTAGGTATTAAAATAGAAAGATTATCTATTCTTTGTATCTCACAATTTTTTATATCAGTACAATTTTGCCTCCACAAACAAACTCATCTAACGAAAGCAAGATCAAATCAAACAAAGATACGTGAATATTATTGGAATATTCATAGATGTTCTATTATAAAAATCCGTGAAAAAACGAAAGATATATATCATAAATTGATGTTGTTTTAGCTTATTACTAAAAAAATATTAAGTTGCAAAAAACATTAGAATTCTGCTTATTAAGTTGGTAACAACTTTAGAATTTCGTTATTAGTATTGTTATAAGCTGAATTTCATTATTGTCTCATATTTTGAAAATCATTGTGGTTGTCTCTTATCTCACGAGATTAGTTTTGAGTATTCTCGCTGCAAACACAAAGAAGAATAACTTTAGGTTTTACCAAGTTAGAACAATTTTTGTGGGCTTTGGAACACTCTTTCACCTTGCCGTTGACAAATTTGGGTTTCTTCTAGTTATTGGTATTACCGTCGTTTCAGTCTGCATGACGTTTACCACTGTAGCTCACAACAAAAACCAACATACCAGAAAGATTATGTTATTCAGGTTTAACCGGAAACAACACGCTTTTTTTCGTTTTGTGGATGGATTGATATCTTAACTGAAAACGACACAATTATTTTCCGTATACAAGCCTTATTCGCTAACAGATCATTATATCTGTTATTTTCCTTTTCTGTCTTCGATATTGCTCTAATGCGAAATATGTGCGTGGGTAGCATCTTTTGGCTAAACCTCTACATTGCACACCGCATGATAAAACCTGATGCTTCCGACAGTTGTTCTGAAATATTGACATTTTGATACCAAATCGTCCGTATCAAAGTCATTCTGTAAGATTTTGACTTCGTTATTCTCCAAAATTTGATCCCAAACTAGCCTTATTCCTTTGAGTAAAGTAATGCCGGAATTGAAAACCCAAGTGCCATCTCCATACCCAAAAGCAAAATGTTTTAAAAGTATTTTTACATTTTTTTTTCTAGCAGGTGCTTTTTCTTTCAAATTATTGGGCTAAAACATTGGGCCGTGCGAATCGTGCGAGTGATTCAAAGTCCAAAGGAGCGGGAAACGAGACGCCACGTGGAACAAAATGTTAACGTTAAAGCGAAGAGGCGCTTTTACCAGATCTAATCGGACCCAAAGAGGGCTTAGGGTTTATTAGAGAAGTCCCAAATCTTCATCTTCTACAAATCTCACAAAGATCTTCCCATCAATGGAGAAATACGAGAAGCTTGAGAAAGTTGGTGAAGGAACATATGGGAAAGTATACAAAGCGATGGAGAAAACCACTGGGAAACTCGTCGCATTGAAGAAGACGAGGCTCGAAATGGACGAAGAAGGTATACCACCTACTGCTCTTCGTGAGATTTCTCTTCTCCAGATGTTATCTCAGTCGATCTACATTGTTCGACTTCTCTGCGTCGAACATGTTCTTCAATCAAAAGACTCGATTTCTCCATCTCCACCGGTTTCTCAAGCCCAGAAATCAAATCTCTATCTCGTATTCGAGTATCTCGATACGGATCTAAAGAAATTCATTGATTCGTATAGGAAGGGTACGAATCCTAGACCACTTGAAGCTTCTCTTGTGCAGAAGTTTATGTTTCAGCTTTGTAAAGGTGTGGCTCATTGTCATAGTCATGGTGTGCTTCATCGTGATCTTAAACCGCAGAATCTTCTTTTGGATAAGGATAAAGGTATCCTTAAGATTGCTGATTTGGGTCTTAGTCGTGCTTTCACTGTTCCTCTCAAGTCTTATACGCACGAGATTGTGACGCTATGGTATAGAGCTCCTGAAGTTCTTCTTGGCTCTACTCATTACTCTACTGCTGTTGACATTTGGTCTGTTGGATGCATCTTTGGTTAGTACTCCCTTGTCTATTGTTTTTTCTTTTTACCTTTGAATGTGTCTTTGTTCTACTATTTGCCTTGTTGATGTTTCCTTGTAGCTGAGATGATTCGGAGGCAAGCTCTTTTCCCTGGTGATTCCGAGTTTCAGCAATTGCTTCACATTTTCAGGTGTGTATTTGCTTCTTGTTTGGATAGTGCTGATGTCTGTGTGTGCGTATCAATGACTGTTACAAGAACCAGTTTTAAAGAATGGCATTGATTAGCTGCAGTTTTCACGAATTAGTTTAGGATCATGAGGTTTTTCAATCGGGAATCTGATATATACATTAAACAATGTATCTTAATTATGGTTCTTTTTGGCTCATGGAGATTGCTAGGAACACCAACTGAGCAGCAATGGCCTGGTGTAATGGCTCTGCGTGACTGGCATGTGTATCCAAAGTGGGAGCCGCAAGACTTATCACGTGCGGTTCCATCTCTATCCCCTGAAGGAGTTGATCTTCTCACGGTATGCTCTTCCAAATCTGCCCTGTGATTGCAAAGCACATTGTTGGAAAAGTGGTCTATGATTCTCTTGCATACTTGCTCTCTTCTGTAGCTTAAAAGCTTGTTTGTTTCTTGGTTCTTTCTGTTGGGTTCTATAGTTGATGATAATTCGTTTTGAGTGAGCTTAAAGTTTGAACCTTTGAACAAATGCAGAGCATGCTGAGGTACAATCCAGCAGAGAGAATTTCAGCAAAAATAGCTCTCGACCATCCGTACTTTGACAGCCTCGACAAATCTCAGTTCTGAAGCTGCACTGCTCATCATCACTGGCAAATTGCAATCTAGTATTTATCGATCAGGCTTATGTTTGGAGTTCATCATCATCTTCTTGGTGATTGTAGCATTCTGTGATTTCTTACCACATTAGTGTTTTCCTGTTTTGTGTGTTTGAGAGATTTGTATTTTTACAGTCCAAACTGAAAAAGCTTGTTTGTCCAAATCGAAGAAAATGCTGTGTTCATAAACAAATCTATCATGAATTCTGAAAACATTTGAGCCAACGTTCCAAAACTTGCTAATTGATAATTGGATTACAAATTGCAGCAAAACGACGAGAATCCAAATGCTCTGATAATCTTCTCACGAGCAGACAAATCCTATTAGTAAATTACAAATCACATTACACACATTTTAGAAAAGAACACAAGATACAGAGAGATTTTTGTAGCTATGAATCTAAGCAAACAAATGATGAGTAGATTCAATTAGACCAGACATGGAGAAGGCCGTGTCTGTTTCCTGTGTATACTTCGTTACGGTCTTCATCGTAGAATAGAGCGGTTATGTCTTCCAAAGCTTCAGCAACAGCACTTTTACTTCGCTCGGAGTTCCCCAAACCGCTGCTGCAATCCTCTTCCTTTAGATGGCCATTGCTTGCTTTTATTTTAGCTAAGCATTTACCAGTCAAGATATTGCTTATGTTAATCGACCCCGCTGCATCAACCAAAGCCGCAACAATGTCTCAATAGCACAATAATAAACTCAAGAATATTTTCACATATCCACTTTGAAGGTTTCTTGATTCAGAGGATGGATTAGTCTGCTTACCATTTCCTTCTATCCATTGATCTTCGGTATCTGCCTTGCAATATGAGATGATCAAATCCTGATCGCTTGTTATGTAGATATTATTTGTGTTACAATCTGGATGCCAAAGAAGATGATCCTCAAACGACGTCACAAGCTCTCCGCGGAAATTCCACACAGAAACATTGCGGTTTCTGAATGTTAGAAACAACTGGTTCTCATACAAAAATATGAATGCCGATGGTGTCATGAATTCAGTTCTGCTAACTTCTATCAGCTCAGCGGTTCGGACCTTTAAGAACAAAAACTCTATTAGAAACATAAAAACACACGAAGTATATATAGTGGTTTGGACCAAGAAAATACCACTCACGTCAAGAATTTGGAGATTCTCGTTATCTTGCTTAACTAGAAGCTTCTCATTGAACTGTTCAATGAAGTCAACTTTCTTGTTTTTGTGAAGCAAATGATTGAAGGACTTGAGAACCGTGCCATCTTCGATTGATAGTATCTTCAAGGGAACATGACTTGTAGCCCTTTTGTAAATCAACAACATTATCCCCGGACTGATGCAGGCAAAACACATGCACGAGTTAGAGAGTAACCCGTAACAGTGTTAACAAGTCTTCCAGTCCAATCAAGTACACAGAACCACTTAGAAGAAGCAACTCACTTCAATTTCTGCAAACAGGAAACATAAAAAGGGGAAAAAGACAGAACCTGATCTTGATTTCCTGTACATTTGTATCTGATATCGAATACAGCATCGCATAGTTTTTCAGATCAAACACCTTGTAAACACTGCAAAGCAAAACTGTGGCTCAGTAGAGAAACTTGAAGCCAACACAATCTTGGTAACAAAGAACAGAAAATACCTGTCCTGTGCAGAATATGTCAACACTTTCCCATTAACATCATCAAACTCTACAAAACCTGGCCACTTTAGTGATTCAGACTCAAAAAGAGGAAACCCTGCGTCTGCTTGACCCTTCAGAATATAGCTAAACAGTACAAAAACATATACACTCAACACTCTGAAAACTAACTCAAAAGAAGACACACAACAATACAAGAAGGCATACATACTTGATTCTAGTGGATCTGCATCTCAAAGAGCTGAAATTATCAGATGCATAAACAGAAACTGTAATAAGAGAATCATTGTTCTTGTTATAGAACAAGCTCCGGATAACTTCATCAGGAGTAACATTTAAAAAGCAAATCCTTTTGTTCGTCTCTGCAGTTACATAAACAAAGGGTCAGCATCAAAATCACAGTGACAAAGCAAAGCAAAACGAGGTCTCAAAGTAATAGTAGTACCTCTGCTAAAAGATGCACAGACACCAGAATGAGCAAGAGCAAAGATAATGTCTCGTGCAGCAACAATCTCAATAACTTTGGTTCGTTTCATCAAAAAGGGTAATGCAACTAAACAGTGACCTTTAGGATCGTGTGTATCATATTGCTCCTGAATTTTGAAAATACCCAGAAAAGTTTAAAGCAAAGGCAATCGAAATACCCAATTTAAGGAACTGTGGGAAAAAGCAGAGACATTATTACCACGAGACGCATGTTGCGGAATCTCTCTTGAGCAGTGCTAATTGAGAAACCACGATCCATACGAGAAGAGATTTCTCTTCGTTGAAGCTTTTTAACGCTATTGATGAATCCATCGGGACGAGACCTCTTCTTCGCTACAATTCTTCTACCGTTGCAAGGTCTAGGGTTTGCTCCTATGATTCTTCTTCCTTCCATTTTAGTTTCCTTTTTGTGAGTCTGAGATTTAGGGCAGAAGAAGAAGAAGAATCATGGACTTGAAGGGAACGAGGACTGAGACTTTTGAAAGTGGTGACGAAGCAGGAATCAATGGCTGATCCAATTGTCGCAGGTTCTGGTTTTTGAGAATTTGTCAGTGTCAAATCAGAATCTTTGGTATGAAAAGGGAAGCATATGAAAATATCATATCAAAGTTAGGCTTTGTTTCGGTTTCTGTGTTAAAGGATATTGAATCTGTAAGTATTTAGGTATGTAAATATATCACATGTTTGGTCTTTGTAAAATAAAGTTTTTTTTTAATGATTGCGATTTTTTCTGTTTAATCGCGATTTCACAGTTTTACCGCTCAAATAAGATAGTTTTTCGATTGGCTAATTGTAGCACCAAATCTTAATTCACAGTTTTGGCGCAAAATTTTAATTTTGTTTGCGCCAAATCGAATTTTACATAACAATACGATTTTAAAATTTTTGCATGAAATTCAATTTTAAACTTTGTAAAAAGCTATGATTTTTAATGGCCATTTTGGTATCTCATCTTGATTTTAACGATTTGCAGTATATAACCAAATTCGATTTGTAGTTAAGATTGCAATTTCTTTTTTTTTTTCTTTAATCATGATTTCGCAGTTTTACCGCTACATTAAGATAATTTTTCGATTCGCAGTTTTGGCGCAAAATTTTGTTTTGCGCCAAATCGAATTTCTGCATATTAATCTGATTTTATAAAACTTTAGCGTGAAATTCGGTTTTAAAATTTTTAAAAGGTTATGATGTGATTTTGTAATTTTACACTAATTTTCGAATGGCCATTTTAGTATCTATCTTGATTTTAAAGATTAGCGATTTTAACCAAATTTGATTTCAATTTTTTTTTATGTTAAACATCAACTTTTGTTTAAAAAAGTTTGAAGTTTGAGTTGGAACATAAAAAAAGTTCCGAAGTTTTTTGGTGTTTAAGTTCGATTTTCAGTTTTATTTTGCGTCAAATCATGATTTCGAGATTCTGCAAACTCCAATACAAATAAACGATTTGTGCGATTTTGTAGTTTGACACCAAATGATATTATGTAAAACTTTTTTTTTTGTCACAATGATATTATATAATTTAACCTTGTAATTACGAAACAAAATCAAAATTGTATAAACGTTATTTTGTGAAAAATCGAACTTCACCACAAAATATTACTTGATTTTGTGTTTCAAACTCAATTGTATGAAGGGAATTTTGTGTCAAATCAGATTTCGCCACAAAATATAAACGTGAATTCGTGATTCCACTATTTAGACGCTATTTTAAAACTAGATGGATTCACTAGAGAACAAGCAAGAACTTGAACGAAAATCATGTGAATTATTTCCAACATAAATTTTTATATTGATTGGCCCTAATTCTTCACTATTAACAAATGCTGTTGAAAATTTACAACTTTGTAACGGATGTTTCATCAAAAGATTGCAATTAAGTTGTAACAAATTAAACCTCTTTAAGTTTTAAGAAAAGAAAAAAAATTAAACCTCTTTTTTTTTTGTTAACTCAACATTCAAACTTTGATTACCGACACAACTATTCAATATTTCCGACTTATCACGATGCCTCCGTTTGTTGAACCACTCCCACAAAAATCCCATCGGTAAAATTGACTACCATTTTTCTAGTATCAAAACGAAAAATCAAAACGTAAACACAAGTTGTCTCCGATCATGTGTACATATAAGAACACATGCATAAATTTACATAACAAAAAAGAAGGAACTAGTTATATACGTACAATTACAAAATAAGCTTTAAAAATGAAAAATCAATAAGATCGAAACATTTGGTCGAGGATGATGGTAAGTGCCATAGCAACACGAGGCTCCATCTCCGGTTCAACTACAAGTTTAAACACATCCTTTCCAAAGGCAACTCCTCCGATCACCGTCTCTTTCCTCTTGATCTCAGCAGTTTTCTTCTTGTTCTTCCTCTCGTCCAATATCTTGCAGCTTCTTTGGCCGTACGATCCCTCAATCTCGTATAATATTGTCTTCTTCGCGCTAACGCACACCAAGCTTCTCCTCTTGTTTGTTATTATACTGACATTCTTTTTCGCGGTAAATATTGGATCTCTCTCCGTTTCTCCATCGTATACCATCCAACAATCTCCAAGACTCAACTTCTGATCAAGTCAATTAAAAAAAAAAAAAAATTTAAGATTAGTTTTCATAATAAGTCAGCTGTATTTTGTAAAAAAAAAAATACAAAGATAAATTCATAGTGGATATATATTATCAGTTTAGGGTTCGAATTTTTCTGCTGCGTCTTCAATTATGGTTGACCACTGTTAATGTTTTACATGACAAGAATATTTTAGTCTTAATTTTATCAAAGAGGAAAAAAGTACCTTGCGGCGGATGGAGAGGAGGGGTAAGCCTGATGCGTCCATGAGGACGATGTTGTCTTTGGAACAATTCATGTAGTTGTCGACCCGAAAGACAAGATCTCCATTAGCGTTGTAAACAGTAAATCCATCGCAGTTGAAGAGAAGAGACTTCTTCCACACCGTTAAAACCACGGCCGCTTTACTATCACAGAAGCTCTCATCACAAGTGCTTGGGAACTTTGGGTAAACTTTTGTCATCTCCTTTTTAAGTTAAGGTTTCTATGTG